AAATTCTCTACCAATCCATAGTACTTACTACACGTTTCTTCTCACAACTGTTGTGTTCAAGTGACTCAGAGCATGTTTGTTTATAAAAATTTTCAAAAAATTTCCACTCTAACTCAACCTTTTTTTTTTAACTCCACTTTAACTCAACACCACTATCAATAATATTATCAATATAATTAAATAATATCAATCAATCATTCATACACACTACATCAATCTTAATTCACTATTCATCTACTCACATAATTTTAACAAACCATCACATCACATCTTCTCTCTCCTACTTTTACATCAATTTAATTTTAATCATTTTATTTTAAATATTATTTTAATAAATCCACTAACAACTAACCATACTATCTTTTCAAAATTAACCAAACCAAACCAAAAATTCCAAACAAACTCAAAAAATTTCATAAACAAACATGCTCTCAAACATTTTATCGCATCACAATTCTAAGTGTTAAGCGTCACTTAATTAAGTTGACATGACTTATTCTGATGATTCAAAAGTTCAATTACTATCTTAAAAAACCGAGTGGAGAAGCAAAAATCAAATAACGAGTGTGTGGGCCGGGCCACTTTTATCCTGTTGATCGAGAAGGCCCGTTACATTTCCTAGCATTCGTCTCAAAGAAGCCCTACCAACACACGTTTGAAGCCCCTTAAATTATCAACTACACCTTCTTTTGCACTTCAAAAGTTTAAACAAAAGAACCCTCTTAATATTGAATTTATCCATCTCCAAATCACTATCAATCTTCATTTTAATTGTACTAATAATATCACTTATCACCTTCCAAATTATGGTATCTGCACAGTCTACAACAAACACTCTCTCCTACTAGCCGGTTGAACCGACCGGCCGGTGAGTTGGCCGGTTCCCGGTTGAACCGGTCGACAGGCCGGTCCTATTCGGTTTTTAGAACAATGGTATCTATTAATATATAATAAGGTTTAAATAATTCACTTTTAGAAATACTTTCTCGCCAATTTCATTAATTATTGCCTAAAAATAGTAAATTAACAAAACCTATCTATATTTATATAAAAAGGCATCATATTTACTAGAATTATTAGTAAGAAAAGTCAAAGGTAATTAATGTATTCTATTTCCATCAAGTATTTTTTTAATTGTTTTATCCCATAACATTTTTTCAATACAACTTATCATGATTTTTCTATTGTGATTAAAACCAGATTTTACGTTTAAAATCTTGTGAAATTATTATTATTATTTTTATAAAGCACATATTATTTGTTAAAAAATTATATATATATATATATATTATACACATCACAGTACCATAGTAGATGATTTAAATTTAAACCGACAAAATGTCATTAATTTAAATTTGAACACACTTATGCGTTTGACCAAATGTTTGGATGATTTAAAATTGACCCTATAAAAAAAATATTAAAATTTGAACACACCAGAAATTTTATGTACTTTTTGTTTATAATATTGAAAGTGGTATTTAATGGCTGTTATATAAATTATTTTAATATATTTGCAATGAAGAAAAGTTTGAATAAATAATTTGTAATATTATTCATTATGTTTGTGAGTCTGTGACTTATGAGACACGAACACATAACTCCATACATATTTGCCAGAAGGTAGCTTAGTAATTTCATAGATTGTTCAAAGCTATAATGAATCAACAAATCGTGGAATAAATAGAATATCATGAAAATGTTTTCTACACTGATAAAACGTTACAAACTGAAAAGGGCTAAACAAATAATATGAAAAACTTTTATGTTTGTTTAGATTAGCAACACTGATCCAACAAGTTCATCTTTCATGTTTGGTCAAAATAATTATCAAACTTTATAAATCAATAAGCAAAATGTTTGGTCAAATTAATAATCAAACTTTATAAATCATTTGCAAATGAAAATCAGTCTTAGTTGAATGTAGAGTATGTTGTAAAATTTAATGTAGAGTATGTTGTAAATCAAATCACATGGTTAAATTTGTGATAGTTAAAAGTAACAAACTAAAAAAAAAATCAAAAAGTTTAGATGACATATGATATGCATCCCGTCTCCGAGAAAATCTTTATCTTATAGCAAAATGTTGGCCGCATCTAATCTAATAGATGTGTAGAAGAACATGATGGATAAAAAACCTAATCATAACAAGAAAACATTTATCTTATAGCAAAATGCTGGCTTCAATCTAATAGATTTTTTTTCCTATTTGCAACCAACATTCTAGCTATACTAAAGTAAACCATTATATCATTAAGAATCACTATCCTTAGAATAGTACACCCTCTCTTCGACTAGAATATAGGCCTGCTGAGGTCGCATAGCTAGTTGTGCTAATCCCGGTAGGAATCGATTCTTTTTCAACTGTAAACCATTATATCATTAAGAATATATTATAGTTATGTTATCAAATCATAAAAAAAAATATTAAATCCATATTGTAAAAAAAATAATTCATATAATTATATAACAATTCTACTACATTATTTAACAACATTCCTTTTTATTATATAATAAAATAATATTTAAATATTATATGGTGAATAAGAATAAGTAAAATTATTACTTTCTCTTATATCAAGAGATAAATTTATATGCTAAAATTAAATTTTTATTAGTATAAATGTTTTAATGATATAATATATTAATTAGTTTACAAGTTAGCTCTAACATGTTCATATTTAATGTTCTGACTAAAAAAACAATGCTGGTTAAAAGACGTGAAAAAAAAGCTTACAACCCTATCGTGTTTTAGACTCAACGTTTACTTTTTAGACTTAAACGGAAAAGACTGTGAAAATAACTCATTTAATATCTATGTCCCGTGCATCGCACGGGTACCATACTAGTATATTCAAATCAAATACAAGTTCAAAATGACTTGCTTTGAAATTCATACAAAAGTCATTGTATCAATTGTGCACATTTGGCTTTACATAAACCTCCAATTTGCTCTCTCCAAAGAAAGGGCACACAATCCATTTTTACTCAAGTAACAAACATTGGCCATCACAACAAGACCCATCTGAATCAATCCCTCTCTACCCTACATTATTATTCAAAAACAAACCTCAATCAATACCTATAGTCAACACACAGACACATGGCGCCACCTCACCTCACCCGGGCAAAAACTTCATACAAATCGGCGGCCGGACTTTAACGAGCGCCAGCACAGACGCCGGCAACGCCCACATCCCTTCGCCACATATGAATCCCGACGCCACCGCCGGCACCATCAGCTCCGCCCGCGTGGCATCCATCCTATGCCACGCGTACACCACCGCCGTCCCCACACACATGTCGATCGCGAAATACCCTCCGATCAGAAACGGCACCGCCATCGCCGTCGGCAGTGGCATCCACCTCCCGACCCTCCTCGGCGTCAAATCCTTCACCAAATTCACCACGATCGCTAACCCGAAAAACCCGTAACACAACTGCAGACAATGCCTAGGCAGCGCCGAAAACCCCTGCACTCCGATTATGGCAAGATTACGGTATATTATAGCGTATGGAGCCTTAAACTCCCCGTCCGGGTTCCCCACGTCGAACGCTCGGTAGAAAAGGGAAAACGTTAGCGGGGTCACGATGCACCCAAGCGCGGTCCCGATCGACTGGCTCAAGAGCATGGCTCGTGGAGAGGTGAGCGTGAGGTGGCCGGTCTTCAAGTCCTGCATCAACACGCACGAGACGTTGATGATGGACTTGAAGAGGCCGCAGGCCGCGAGAGCGGCTATCACGCCGTGCTCGCGGCCCGACATGGCAGCGACCGTGAAGAGCCCAACTTTCCCGTAGTTGTACGCCATGTTGATGTCGGTTAGGCCCGCGCCGTAGGCATTGCAGAACGCGAGTGACGGGGCGAAAATGTAGGAGACGAGGACGAAGTACCATTTGAGTTCCGGGATGACGAGCGGAAGGAAAATGGTCGAGACGAGCGCCAGCGAGGCGTAACCGAGTAGCCCGACCCATAGGGGAATGCTCTCGCGGATGAAAACTACGTCTTTACGGAG